AGTTTTTCGAAGAAGGAAGTGTAAACAAGTGGGGAGAGGCACTTGCCTTCAGGAGTTAATGTTTTTAAAGAAAGTGTGTAGACTTTATTATCAAAAATAAAAAAATATCTTTGAGAACGTCTGTTTTTTGGGTTGGCAAAGGGATTAGCGGAAAGAGTCAAAAACAAATACAATTTATATAAATTTTAAATATATAAATAACATATCCTAGCAAATATACAGTATATATATCCTTAAAACTTTAATTTATTATTATTTTTTTTATAAACAAACTCTTATAATGTTATTTTTAGAAAAAAATATACAATAACAAATTATATTATATTTGTAAAATAATAAAATTACTTTTATAAATAAAATATACTCTATAACTTATATAAATATATTAATAATTTATTATAATCTTAAAAAATTAAATTCTAAAAGTAATAATTTAAGAAAATCAAGTGAAAATTATTTTAAAAAAATTATAGACCCATAGATCTATAGCACAGTGGTTAATGCTTCACAAATCAGATCACAAGATATCAGTTCAATTCCATATAAAGGCAATTGAATAGAATTAATATAGTATCTGATACCATAATTAGTTATGTGCCATTTTTCATAAGAAGCCATTTCACATGCCAATCCGATAGGCATTAAGATTGTGATCTCCAGAAAAAGATGTCGTGATATGACAATCATCCGGTTGGTGCTATAATAATTGCCAGAAGTCAGATAACAAAAAAGTATAGAAGGTATCTGGTTTGAGAAAAATGGCTTGATGATCACTTCCTCGTGGTACCTGATGTCTCTTCCTGCAAGTTATCGATAGTCCGGTTTGGGTTAGAGGTTTTTTCTACAGAGTTCTATTCACCATAATAGGTACTACCTCCAGTTTTTCCTTTCACTTTTCCTTAAAACATTTCCTGGTTAGAAATAGAACTTAACATAAAATAACGACACTAATGACGCATAGCATATTAGTTTTGTCAGAGGATCTTTGGGTTCAAAGTCAATAGCAGCAAGCCAATATGGAGGTAAAATCTAATATTGTTTGACATTGATTAGAATAACGTATAGATAGTAATTACCTATATAAAAATGTATAAGATACATATATACGTTAAATAAATTTAACAACGTTGGGCAAGGCCCAGCTAGTCAAGTTAAAAAAAAAAAAAAATTAAAAAAAAATTATTTCTAATATATCAAAAGCAATTGATTAATATTTATATTATAATTCAAAACTCTTTACAAGAATTTTAATAATTAAATTATCAAAATTAATATTAAAGTATTATATTTAACTATTTCAAAACATTTAATAAAAATAAGTTATAAAAATAATTTACTTTTGAAGATATTTATATTTATTATTGCTTATAAAAAAGCTCATATAAATTAAATAAAAAAATATCTTAATAACAATTGAAAAAAAACTTATTTTCTGATGAAACAATATTTTAACTATTCAAAAACACAATTACTTATTGATATAAAAATATAAGATCAATTAGAAAAATGTTTAAAAATCATATAAAAATTTTTGTATAGAAAAAATTTTGTTTAAAAAAAAAAACTTCTCTTTTTTGTTTTAAGGAAATTATAAATATAAAATTTTATATTAATATTTTACAAAAACATAAATTAAAAATTAAAAGATTACTTGAATACAATTAACACTTTTAATAGAATAATAATTTTAAACATACTAATAAAATTATTAAAAAATTTTTAAATGAAAATTTTCTTGAAATTATAGATTGGCTTTCTAATAGTTCAGATTTAAATATTATTGAAAACCTTTGATCTATTGTTAAAAGAAATGTAAAAATGAGATTACTTTAAAATTTTTTAGAATTAAAATAATTTATAATGGAAAAATAAAAAAAAATTCCAAGTAGAATTATAATTAATTTTATAAATTCAATAAAAAAGAGATGTGAATTAATAATTGAAAATAATGGTAAAAGAATTAATTATTAATTATATATCAATAAAATCTCTAAATTTTAAACTTTATTTTGATATAATTTTTATATAATAGTTTTTGAGTAATGAATAAATAAAAAATTTCAAAAAGTTTTGCAATATATTGTATCAATATATAAATTGATTAAAAACAAAAAAAAAAAGTAAGAAATTAAATTAAAATTTTAAATATAATATATAATTATTAATAATTAATTAAAGAATTTTATTCTTATAACATGTTTAAAAATTTTTGAATAAATCGAAAAATTGTATAGATTTTTTCTCAAGTATAGTATAACTAATTTGGCGATCACTAGCAAAACTTATTGAAAAGTAATAAGTACTATTTTTACTATAATTATCCTTATTTTGGCATACAATTTAATAAATAGTTCACTATTAAATCTTCATCAAATAACGAATTCAATAATGTTTATTTTATTACTGAATTTATTTATTTTTTCACCAAAGACTTGTATAAAAACCTCACTGAAATCAACGGACATCAACAATTTTTAGTGATATTTTTTTAATGCATAGTGCTCTAAAAAAAAAAAGCATCAATATTTATCTATTTATAAAGATTCTTGAATTTACATTATTGATCATACGTTTTCTACTGACAAGAATTACAGGTAATTTGGTAGAACCCTTTGAACGACTTGTAAATTTACCATCACCGAAAAAACAACTTGCGTAACATTTTCATTTAATGCCCAAATTTTCATCTTTACAAGAATCTCCCGTGCTGCATGTAATTTTTTCTTGTAATACAATATTTTTAACGAATCTGGCTCAACGAATGACTTGATTTTGTTTTTTTAAAGATATCACCAAAAAAAAAAAAAAAAAAAGAGAGAATCAGGAAAAATTGTTCGTAATTGATAAAGAATCCCGTCCCTGTAAAATTCATTTTGCAAGTAAAACTCAACAAAATGTTCGACGTAAACCATTTGTTTACTGCGTTGTTGTCTGATCCGAAACTGGCATCACTTCTAATGGGTAAGTAATGTAAGATCAGTAATAAATTTATTAATGGAGAAGAATAAAAAACAAATGTAATTTACCCATCGGAGCAGTTTCATAATGTTGCTCCATCATCATGGGCCGTTGACTCATCATCACGCCAGCTGGGGGGACGTGGGGGACTATTTCATGTGGATAGCGCATCATAGGTGGTAACCCTATTAATAATGATCAATTAAAGCTTGTGATTATGAAGCTATGGACGTAAGTTAAAGTAGAACGAATAAAATGCGCAAACCAACCATGCGGATTTTGATATGGTGGATACATCTGAGGGTGTATACCAGTAGGAACTATTGGTGTACGACCTGGCGAAGGGAATCCTTGAGAACCAAAATGTTCTACAGAATAGACATCGCAATTTGTGATTCCCAGGGAATAACGTTGTTCAGAAGAAAAATCAATGTCTTACGTGGAATCACCGGTGGAATCTGCGGGCTATATATTGTAGCTATTTTATTATTAATAAATAAATATTTTAGCACAAATTAAATATAAGAAATCAATTGAAGCCATAAACATTTATTACGTGGAGCTCCGTTTGGTGGCATGGGTGCAGTGGTGAAAGGCATACCAGGCACAAACTTTAAAAGCAAGGTCATTAGACTAATTCTAAGAAGTACGACAGAGAAAAAAAAGATAACACTTTACCCCAGGCATATACTGCACAGGTGTCGTTTGTTGCATTGGCATAGGCGGAACGCCAACAAACTGCGTTCCGGCCGTGAAACGATAATGTGGAACGGGGTATGCCGTAAATCCGAACCCTTGATTTACGGAAGCCTGTGTATAAATATCTTCTTCGTAATTAGTGGTAACAGTGAAATGATGCCTAAAGGGTTTTTGACCGAAAGGCCATGTTGGTGCTTCATTTAAGTTGACAAAAAGAAAGCTTATTTATTATATTTTTTTTAATAAGGTGATGAAAAGTAAATATTTATATTAAAATTAACTTACGAATTGAATTTGGATTTTCCAGAGATTTTCCTTTCTTAAAAGGACAGAATCCGTCTTTTAACGATGCAGTATTTTTCCTCAATTGACGGTTGCCAAAGAAAGGAGACTATATAGTATATTCATTAAAAATTGATTAGATGCTAAAAGAAATATAATAAAATAAGGAAATAAAAGAGTACTCACGGAGCCCGGAGATCTTTTGTCTCCAGCGGTATTTGGAGTCTACATGATTTGAATAGCAAGAATAAGGTATATGGAATCGCATATTCCGAATGCAACCAAAATAATAGCAACAAGCCTAACGATTTATGATATGCGACGCCGTACCGGAGTGAAACTCGCCGCGTTAGGATTAGGCTTCCATTCAGATGCTTTCGCATTCAACTTAAATTGTGTGTTTGTCGGTGTTGTTGCAAGAGTTCTAGAAGGAGAAAGTTGTGGAGGTGCTTTGTCGGCAGCAGAAGTTGGTTTGTCTGAAGCGACCTTTTCGGGAACAGTCTTTGATTCCCCGCTAGATTGTGATTTATCCTCTTCAATCTTAATGACTGGCTTTGAAAGTTCTATTTTTACATCAGAAGTTGGTGTCGAGGAAGTTTTTTCTTTTGGCCTATCATCACTTTTTTCCTTTCCCTTTTCAGACTCTTGTTTCTCTTTGTCTTTTTCTTTTAGTTTCTCCTTTTCTTTATCATTTTCCTTTTCGGACATTGCTGCTTCTGATTTTGCAGCCAGCTGTTGACGTTTTGTTTCGTCTTTGGTAAGGATTGGGATAAGATCCTTTGGCAGCGGTGAATTTAACTGAGAAAGTATTTTATTCATGAGCAACGCTTCATAGGAACGTTACTATTTACATAAACGCATGTCTGATGAGAAGTCATAATTAACCACCTTAAAGTTTTGCCCCCATTTAAGCAACTCAGCCATTCTACCATCCATCTCTTTTTTGAATATAGCCTGTTTCCTTTGTTGGAGACGTTCTTTTTCATGGTTAGCAAACTTTCGAAAAGTCTTCACAATCACAGCTAACAATTTGAAATGATGAGTGTAAAATAGATCCAAAAAAATTGTCTAAAATAGCTAGATATTATATAAAATATTTTCGAAATGTACCTTCGATAGGTCTACCGTCTGCGTCCGTATCGGGTTTCTGGGATTTGGTTCGAAGATATCAGATGGGTTCAACTACGGACCATAAACTTGTAAAAAAAAGAAAAAAAGAAGGTGAGATGTACACTAAAATACGTACCCTTGGAGTATGAGGATTTGGTATCGTCACATCGGATTCAACCCTGAAAGGGGCTAATGGCGAAGTTGGGAATGTATTATTAACTTTTTGCAGGGAAGGCGAGGAAGGAACTGGAACCGCTGAGGGAGGAGGTACTGGCTTTGTGTTTTTGGGTTCTTCAGTCGGTTTTGTTTTAACATCTTTGATAGGTTCTTTGACTATTTCTTGTTTTTTCACAACGGGAGCTTGCTGTTGTTGTTGCTCCAGCTGCAGCTTTCGTAGTGGTGGTGGCATATATTTACTCGGATCCCTGTTTCTCACAACTGCTCCATATCTTAGATAAAAAAAACAGGAAGCATTAGCATATCTCGTCAACATAAAACATAAATTATAAAGTAGAATTTGATTTCAAACTTTTCTTCTTCATCCATCTGGTTATCTTCCACAAAATAACCACGTTCTTCGAGCATATGAGGATTTGTTGTAGATGTCTTATACAGAATTTAAGTGTAAATTATATGATTTGAGGACACATTTTGTCACGATACAATTAAGAAATTATCATTTATCAATTCTATATATACCCTTGTAATTTCATTGGCAATAGCAATAGCCTGTCTCTCACGTTCTTTAAAGTCGGCCCTTGATCTATCCAATTTCGTCGTATATAATTCTTCATTGAAATCAGTTTTTATTCCAAACAATTTTTCATTTGCGGCAAATTGATCCCAACTTGAATTCTCAGACTCTGGATTTATATCATCTTCTAGACCTTTCATAGCATCCCCAGAATCTTCTGAAGCCCACTTATGAAGTTCTCGTTCTCGAATTTCGGTTCGACCACTGATATCAGAATCAGTCCTGAAGCCTAAATCATCGAATCATGAGAAAAAAAAAAAAAGACGACTAAATAGATAAAGATTTCAAAAGTACCTTCGCGCTCGTTTGATGTTTTTTCTGATGACGCTGAGAAATCCACTCCACATGCATGAATTTCCATTACGTCCTTGTGTGGTAAAATAAATACGGGTATTACACGATTCGGCAAATTTTTGTCTTC